AGCTGGAGGTGGCAGCCCTGGCCTTCTTGCTTCCGACCATGGTTATGGTGATGTGCTCTTGAACTCAGTTACTCCAGTGGCAGCCTTCTGACTCCTGCTCCTCCAGTCCCCTTCACTTATTTTGCACCAGCTAATTCCTTGCATGAAATTCCTTACTGTGAAAAAATTGAGCATGTCAAGTGTTGATGAAGAAGCAGCCTGGAGCACCGGGAACCACTGATACACTTGCTGGTGGTAGTGTAAAGTGTTGCACCCACTTTGGAAAGTTGATTGGAAACTTCTAATAAAGTTAAACATACCCTACCCTATTGTCCAGCAATTTAAAAAATAATTATTTACTTTTGTTATTTATTTTTGACTGCGCTGAGTCTTCATTGCTGTGTGTGGGCTTTCTGTAATTATGATGCGCTGGGTTCTTCTTGTGACTTCTCGTTGCAGAGCTCTAGGGTGCAAGGGTTCGGTAGTTGTGGCTCACAGGCTTAGTTGCCTTGCAGCATGTGGAATCTTCCTGGACCAGGGATCTAACCCATGTCCCCCGCATTGGCAGGTAGATTCTTAACCATTGGACCACTAGGGAAATTTTAACCACTGAACCACCTGTCCATCAATTTTTAAATGAGTGCATAACTCCACAAAAAGACTTACATGTGAATATTCACAGCAATTTTTTTATATATAAAGCATTTCTATTAAAAAATATTTATTTATTTGGCTGTGTCAGGTCTTAGGTGTATCATGCAGGATCTTTCGTTGTGCACAAAGTCTCCCATTCTGAGGGATTTCTGTTTTCTTCACTGAGCTCCAGATCCTGGAGGAAGGGCCCTAGGAAAGTAGATGGCAAGAGGGCCTGAATGCAAGTTGGGCACCAAGAAGTGTGACAGAGGGACTTCCCTGGTGGTTCAGTAGTTGAGAATCTGCCTTCCAGTGCAGGTGATGTGGCTTTGATTCCTGACCAGGGAACTAAGATCTCACGTGCTATGAGGCAACTAAGCCTGAGTGTCCCAACTATAGAGCCCTCACCACAACAGAAGGTTCTGCACGCTGCAAGGAATATCCTGCATGCCAATTAAGACCTGAAGCAACCAAAAAATAATAATAAATTGATTTAAAAAAAAGGAGGGTGGCAGGAAGATGGGTTCTTGGAGGGATGTGTCTCCAGAGGGCCAGGGAGTATCTTCTGCATTGGGAGGTGTGCATGAATTTTAGGAACTCCAATATTTAACTTCAAAGGTATGTCCTACCCATGCACTCATTTTCCTATTTTTGCCACAACTCCAAGTAAATGTCTGTTGCCACAACTTATGTCAGTAGTTCTCAGAAAGGAAGGGCAGGATGGCAGCCTCTGACTGGCAGGTGATGGATGAGGAACATGATGTCCTGAGCTTGATGAGGCCACACTGACCATAGGGGGCTGGATATACTCGGAGAAGCTTGGCTGCAGCAGGGAACTGACCCACGAGCTGACACAGACCAAGCCCCTGCCTTCTCCTGAGACCCTTGAGAGGTAAGGTGGATTCAAACCAGACCCTTTTATGTCCTTCCTATGTGGCTAGGTGAGGCAGGGGTGATTCCAGAACTGAGGACTCAGAGGTCTCATATTGTAGAAGAGAAAATACCAGAAGAAAAGACCCCAGAGTGTCACCAGCAGTTTTTTTCTGGGTGGTGGCTTTATGAATATGAATTTTGATTTTGTTCATCAAATATTTCTGGTTTTCTCCGTACTAAATATGTAAGCATATATTAATTTTTAAACAAAATTGACAGTGTGAAAAAATAGTTTAAAGAAATGCAGTTTTAAAACTTATTTGAAACGAGATTGTAAAGGCAAGGATTGTATTTTGTTTTTCAGTTTGGAGAGTCCCCTGAAGGGACTTAGACATGAAAAATGTCCCTTTTGGGGGCACTCTGGGACTATCTTTGGGTTTGACTTTGCTCTCTGGTGGGAAACATGAGCTGGGTGGTTATCACATGTGAGCCATAGCCCTCCTTGGATCACTGGTTTGGAGACCTGGGCCACTTTTACTGTGGAAGGGGCCTCCAAGAATGCTGTCTGGACTTGCCCTTCCCCTATTAAAGGGGAAAATGATCAATAAGTCCTATTCATGAAATAGGGTGGGATGCAATCAACAGTAAAATATAAATAGCCAGCTAGATGATTTTTAAATTTTATTTCACTTAAAATTTTCATTTTGAAATAATTTCAGACTTAGGAACAGTTGTAAAAATAATACAAATGTTCACATCTTATGTAACCACACAGTACAATGACCAAAACCATAAAATTAACTGTAATAGAATATTAACTAATCTAAAGGCTTCCGTAAGAGTCCATTTGTCACACTGATGTACTTTTTCAGTTTCAGGGTCCAACCAAGAATCCCACATTGCTTTTAGCTGTTCAGTCTCTTTATTCTCCTTTAATCTGGAGCAGTTCCTCAGTCTTTCTGTGTCTTTCATGGCCTTCACATCTTTGGGAAGTTGTTCTGTAGATGAGTGCTGTCCAATACAAATAATAATAATAAAAAAAAAACCTAATAGAACTCTGTGATGATAGAAATACTCTCTATCTGTGCTGTCCAATATGATAGCCATTAGCCATGTGAAAATAGCATTTGAAATGTGGCTATTAGGGTTGCGGAACTGAATTTTACATTTTATTTAATTTTGATTAAAATGCGTGTGTATGTATGTGTGTGTGAAAGTCACTCCATTTTGTCTGACTCTGTGACCCAAAGGACTATACAGTCCATGGAATTCTCCAGGCCAGAATACTGGAGTGGGTACCCGTTCCCTTCTCCAGGGGATCTTCCCAACCCAGGGAGGGATTGAACTGGGGTCTCCTGCATTGCAGGCAGATTCTTTACCAGCTGAGCCACCATTAATTTTATTTAATAGTAGCAACTGGCTACTGTATTGTATTGGACAGCTGTTGAATGTTATTTTGGGTTTGTTTACTGTTTCCTCATAATTTACTTCAGATTATAAGTTTTAGTAAAAATACCATAGATGTGCCCTTTTGGTTCCAACAAAGGTGGCAGGAAACCACCTAGATCTGGATTTTTTTTGTGTGTGACAAAATATATGTAATGTAAAATTTACCATTTTAACCATTTTTGATTATGAAGTTCTGTAGTATTAAGTACATTTACATTTTGTGCATTCCATCATCCATTTCCAGAACTTTTTCTTCTTCCTCAGCTGAAACTCTCTACCCATTAGACACTAACTCTCCATTCTCCATTGCTTCAAGGCCCTGGCAACCACCACTCTACTTTCTATTCTATGAATTTGACTAGGTTTCTCCAGAAGGCCCTCTTGTATGCAACTTTTCGGCATTCCCCAGAGGTAACCAGTGGTATGAATTCTGTTTATATAGATGAGTTTTGCATGTTTTGAACCTTATCTTACTTTGTGACTGGGAACAGACAGCATGTTCTTTTTGTACTTAGCTTGGTTAGCCATAGTGCCCATTCATCCTGTGAAGATTCATCCTGTTGTTTGCATCAATAGTTCTTGTCCTCTGTTACTTTCCACTGCTACTATACACCAGGGTTTGTCTCTCCATTCTGTCGATGGGCATTTGGGTTGTTTTCAGAGTTTGCCTATTGTGAATAAAGCCACCATGAACAGTATAATGCGTGTTTCTAGGTGGACTCATAGGTCAACCAGGAGAGGTTGCTGGGTGATAGGGTTGGCATATGTTTAAAAATTGCCAAACATTTCCCCAAATCTTTAAATCTCTCTTTAAAACAGGAAAAAATAAACTTCTATGTGGTTATTTTGAGAATATTTAATGGGCCCTAAGATAAAAGAAATTAAAAGACGCTTACTCCTTGGAAGGAAAGTTATGACCAATCTAGACAGCATATTAAAAAGCAGAGACATTACTTTGCCAACAAAGGTGCATCTAGTCAAAGCTATGGTTTTTCCAGTGGTCATGTATGGATGTGAGAGTTGGACTGTGAAGAAAGCTGAGAGCCTAAAAATTGATGCTTTTGAACTGTGATGTTGGAGAAGACTCTTGAGAGTCCCTTGGACTGCAAGGAGATCCAACCAGTCCATCCTAAAGGAGATCAGTCCTGGGTGTTCATTGGAAGGACTGATACTGAGGCTGAAACTCCAGTACTTTGGCCACCTCATGCGAAGAGTTGACCATTGGAAAAGACCCTGATGCTGGGAAGGATTGGGGGCAGGAGGGGAAGGGGATGACAGAGGATGAGATGGCTGGATGGCATCACCGACTCCATGGACATGAGTCCGAGTAAACTCCAGGAGTTGGTGATGGACAGGGAGGCCTGGCGAGCTGCGATTCATGGGGTCGCAAAGAGTTGGACACGACTGAGCGACTGAACTGAACTGAAGATATAAGACTTTAAGTCTGTACCTGGAACAGGGTGGGCACTCAGTAATTGTCCTTTGCCCAGCAGCGGAAGGGCGAGCACTGCCGGGAGATACCGCCCTAAATCCTTGAGCCTAGAGGCCTTTCCCACGCAGCACTCAAGCCCCACACCCTGCGCAGAGCGAGCCAACCTTGGCGCCCTTGGCCTGCATACACCTACACATCCCGATCCTGCCTTCTCAGGCCCAGAAAGGGTGTCACTTGGTTAGGCACACGAACCCTTGTGACACCCAACATTTACCGAGCACTGACTGTATGCTAGGCCCTGTGAGTCCAGGAGCGAACGACATAAAAGCCCTCAACCTTCAAATTACTCCTCGGAGGAGGGTAGATTCGCGTAGGAAGCGTTGGGACTGAGCCCGCCGCGGTTTCTACTTGGTTTCTAGCCAGATCCTAGACTTCCCCCTGGAAGCTGCTCGAGAGAAAGAAGGAAAGATCATCTGTCCCTCCGATCACGCAGTAGAAAACCGCATCAGTTCCCATCCTAGGTCCAGCGCCGCCAGGCTTGCCAACGGAGGTCAAGTGCCGGCCCGCGCTGACCAGTCTCCACAGCTGGCCGCGAAGCCCCGCCCCCGCGTCTGGCCAATGGCCGCGCGGTCCCGGCCTCTCTCCTCCCTCCCAGCTAGGGAAGGTTCCCTGCAGGCGCAGCTGAAGGCAGGTCGCCGGGTCGCGGCTGCCCAAGGTAAGATCGCGGACTCAGGAGCTCGGTCCTCTGGGCTCAGGGAACACGGACGCCTTTCGGGGAGGTGGTCCGTGGCGCAGAAGCCGAGTGGGACTCGGAGTCCGCGGTGGGGCTGGGAACAGCGGGTCCTAATGCACAGCGAGGTTCGCGGCAGCGAGAGCTCCGCGTGCCGCATCCAGCACCCGGGGCTCTGGAGGTGGGTGGCGCGTGCCTCTGCCCGGGCTGGAGGGGAGGTTGGGCCGGAAGGAGACGGGCTCTGGTTACTGAGCTCCTCCAGCCGTCCGCAGGCCCAGGGTGACCCCAGGGCGAGGCCTAACCCGGGTGCGCCAGTCTCAGCAGCAGCGCCTTTAGGGGTCGCGACCGCAGCCCTCCCCGGGTCTTGGCTGTTCTCGGCGATGAGTCGGCGATGACACCTACTCAGAACAGCCTCCTGGCCCTCAGCGGACCTGACCCTGGCCCAGGAATTCTGGATTCCGAGCCGAGGTTGTGAGGCCTCGCCCCTTCCGGGATGGGGGTGCTCTCAGAGCCTCTGGTGCCCTCCTAGCGGCGACCGTCAGGAACACTGCAGAACACTCCGCTCACAATCTTCTCTGAGACCCGGAAGGAGGTGCCAGGAAAACTTTGGAAAAAACAAAACGGACATCCTTATTTTAAGAACTCAAAAACATCTGGAAGGACCTGAGAACCGGTTCCTGTGGAGGGCAGGGCTAAAACGTCTTCAGACCTGGCCGAAAGATTTCCATTTCTCACAAGAGAAGGGACTAAATATTGCGTCTTAGGCACACTCTCACTCCTGACCTCTCCTCACCCAGGCAGTGTCCTTCGCCCCTCCGAGGGCTTGAAGGCAGGGGGCTGTATGAGTCTCACTTGCCACAGAGGTCTCTGTGCCCTCAAGATGTATGGTGAGACATGCAATGAGGCAGCAAGTCCTGGGTTCCAATTCTGTTAGGCCACTGGTCAGCTGGATAACTTGGCATCTCCTCTCCTCTTAGGATTATGGCAAGAATTAAATGAAAGAAATTTAGGGTATGCCTGCCTATAGTAGACGACTGAAGTGACTTAACAGTAGCAACTGCCTATAGTAGAGGCATGATAGCTCAGCTGGTAAAGAATCTGCCTGCAGTGCGGGAGACCTGGGTTAGGAAGATCCCCTGGAGAAGGGAAAGGCTACCCACCCCAGTATTCTGGCCTGGAGAATTCCAGTCCATGGGGTCGCAAAAAGTCGGACAGGACTGAGTGACTTTCACTTTCACTTTGCCTAAAGTAGACCTTCAGTAAGTGTGAACAAATATGAGCTTCCTTTCTTTTTGGTTGAGACTATTTCAGACATCCATACTTCCCAAACTCTTTGCCTTGAGGGCTGAGGATGGAATGCAAAAAAATGTATCACCTGACTCTCTCCTGGGGCCTCCCTGGATCCTGTGGGAGGGAAGGAGGGATCTAGTCACCACCACAGAGTTCTCTGTTCCTCTCTTGAAGGCTCAGAGGACCCCTGCCCCACCTCCCTGATCCTCTTGACTTCTGTTTTTTATTCTCGCGCCACAAGAGGTATAGCCCTTGTGGCTGGCAAAGGAAGTCATGCAGCATGCAACCATGGGGCCAGTGGGCAGCAGGTAGGCAGGACAGCTGCACCATTTCCCAAGTGGCAGGGGACTGGGAGCCTCAGCAACTTCTGGGCACTCTCTGCTTTGCAACACTGTCTCCTAGAGGTCTCACCAAGCTTGACACCCATGTTTCGACTCCAGTCTCCCCCTCTGTCTTCTACCCACTTCGCTCCCTGAAAACCCCTTTGAATATCCGATAGCATCTCAAGCTTCACTTGTTGAAAATGGAGTTCTGGAGTCTTCTCTGCACCACCGCTTCTCCCCTGGATTTTCTGGCTTGCTAAGTGACACCCTCCATCCACCCAGTGCCTAAGGAGTAATCTTTGATTCTTCTCTCTCCTTCACCTCCCATATCCACAAAATATCAGATTCCAGTCACCTGTCGCCACCTCCATGGTTATCATCCTGGCCATACCCGTCATGTATTCCCTGCTGTGACCTCCTGACTTGTCTCCCTGCTTCCAGCATGACCCCACACAGTCCGGGGTCCTTACAACCACCACAGAAGTCTTTAACATATATCAAATCCTCTCCTTTTCCTGCTTAGAACCCTCCAACGGCTCCCTCTTTGACTCCAAATAAAACACAAGGTCCTTTCCTATAATGTCCTACATTAGCAGTCCTTCCCAACCTTCTTGACCTTGATATCTGCCCCTCCCCCTCGTTTTCTAAACCTGGACAACTCCAGTCTACTTTCTATTCTTTAAACATGTCAAGCTTGTTCCCACCTTAAGACTTCTAACTTGCTGTGTCCTATGCCCAAAATACTGATCTCCTTATAGCCAAGAACCATTCAGCTCAAATGTCAATTCAAAAATGCTTCCTTCGCCACCCCAGTTCAAGAAGCATCCCCATCTTCAGGGACTGTCTCATCTGCTTTATTTTCTCTATAACCTTTATGTTATCTGAAATCGTTATTTATGTATATTTTTACTGATCTGTCTGTCCCATTCCAGTAGAATGTAAATTGGATGATGGCAGAGATCTTTTCTGTCTTATTCCCTGCAGCTCTCTCCCATGAGAAAGGCAAATAGGAAACAAACAGGCACTTCCCTGGTGGCCCAGTGGTTAAGACTCCATGCTCCCACTGTAGGGGACTCAGGTTTGATCCTAGTTGGGGAACTAAGATCCAAGCAGCAAAAGTAAATAAAATAGAAATTTTTTTTTAAAAAGGGAGCAAGCAAGCAAACAGATTTATAATTGAAAATTGTGGTAAGTGCTACCTAAGCAACCGGCAGCAATTGATTGTATTTGGAGTACTTTTATGTGGTTGTTTTTTTTTTGGCCACACCTTGTGGCATGTGAAATCTTTGTTCCCACCAGTGACCCCTGCAATGGAGGCATGGAGTCTTAACCACTGTACTGCCAGGGAAGTCCCTGCGGCATTTAAAAATTTCAGGCTTATAAGACTGAACTACTGTATTTTCAGAACAACCTCTCTGAGCCATTTTAGGGGTGAGGATAAACCTGGGAAAGGCTGATAACTTTCCTGGAGTCACACCCAGGAATGGAACTTAGCCTCCTACCCTGAAAGTATGTACGTGGCAAGTTTTAATGTAATGCTGGGCCTGCAGTTATGTTCTGGGAAGAACCTGATCCCAGATCCTAAAGACCTCAGTTCTTTGCTCTTCTACTAACTAGCAAGCCCCCTTAATTCCTTGGTACTGCATTTTCTTCATGGTAAGAATAGGATAGATCCTATTACGATGTTCGGTGCCTTGTTCTTTCTCCTCCCCTATTTCTTCCCCCTCCTCCCTGTCTTCCCCTTCCCTCTCAGTATTCTCCAAAGAAGCAGCACTTCTGGGTGGTGGCCTGTTGCTATCAGCAGCTGGGGGCACATTCAGACCTGGGGATGATGAGGCAGGAGCCAGAGCTCCTCCCAAACACTGACCAACCTGAAGGGCAGACTTGGGCCCTAGGTCTTCTGAATCTGATTTTTTTCCCCCCATCAATTTGTTTTTAAGAAAATTCATTGACGGCCTCTGATACTAAGACAGTAATAAAGTAGGACTTCGTTGGCGGTCCAGTGGTTAAGAATCTGCCTTCCAATGCAGGGCTTGTGGGTTTTATCCCTTTTCAGGGAACTAAGATCCCACATGCTGTTACTAAAACCTGACGCAGCCAAATAAGTAATAAAGTAGGATGATTAAAGAAAAAAGCAAACGTTCCAAAGAGGTGGAAAAGAAAGAATTGCCTTTTGTTCAATCCGACTCCCAACTTGGTTGCCATGTATGCTGTGTTTTCTTCCAGCCTTTATTCCTCTCAGTCCGTCCACCCTTCATGGGCCAGAGCCTTCTGCCAGTTCAGAAGCCAGACAGTGATGACGTTTGCCGAAGACAAAACTTATCATTATATCCGCCACCATCACAGCAATTTTTGCAATATTCATGTTCTGGATATTCTGCCTTACCTGTCCTGCCTCACAACAAGCGACCAGGTAAGCCAGGGCCTGACAGCCAGGCACTGACTGGGCGCAGGGTTGTGGAATTCAGAGCTTCTCCCAGGCCAGGATTAACTCCTTCCTTCTCTGTTGTCTGTATTCTGCTTCCCATTGTTGACAGTTTTCTAACCTTCAGAATGACGTGTGGCTCAGGGTGTCCTTTCCAATCCTACTGAGGTTCTTGTGTTGTTTTGGTATAGTGCTCCAAAATATAGCACTGAGATTTCTGGGCTCAGGGCCCCTTACTCGCTTTCACTGGAACATTCTCCATCTCTTGTCTTTATTCCTGCTTAGTCTCAATTCCTTTCTCCTGGTCGTGGGACCCATTCTAGCAGAGTCCCAGGGCTCAACTTTCAGAGTTCTTGGGAGCCAGATGGTGCTAGCCCCTTTGGCACTTGCTGTGGGCTCCTAGTGAAGTGAGCCCAGCCCCTCCCAGTTTTAGCTGTCTCCACATTGAACCCCGAGGCCCCCCTCTGCTTCCTGGATGCAGATACTGGTGGTATTTGAGTTTGTAGCTGGTACAGTTTGGCTCCTCTCTCTTGTATTTTGGTGTTTGCAGGAATACCTTATCATTTAGTTCCGCTGTAAATGTTTTCTGTGGGTTTCTGCTATCTGGTCACTTGTTTGTATGTGCTAAGCCTCAAGTTTCCTCATCAGTAGAGTAGGGATAATAATAGCATTAAATAAGACAATTCACACAGAGCCCTGAGAAGAGAGCCTGGGACACAGTAAAGACCTATTTCATGAGTCTGGGAACTTGGGCTCAAAACTCTGGCCTTGTCCTGGGCTCTGACCCAGCTTCAGATGGCTGCCTCCATCTTGTAGCTTTCCAGGTACCTCCACTTGCAGCCATGGGGAGGGGGTCAGGGCTACCTGACTTGGTCTGGGTGGTGGGGCTGTGTCTTTCAGGACCGGATTCGGGCCTGCTATGAGCGCTGGGGGAACCAGGGTACCCTCTGGGAACTCTTCAACAGTCTTCGGCGGAGGAACGGCTGGGTGCAGTCCTTCATCGAGGCACTGAGGGCCTGTGAGCACACTGGTCTCGCTGATGAAGTGTCCCGTGTCTACCAGAGCAACCTGCCACGTGAGCACCTGCCCTAGCCCCTCTTCTGGAACTCCTCTCTGATTCCCCTGGCCTTCGCACTCCCTCTCCCCTTACCCTATACCTGCTGTCTTCCTCTGTCACCCTCTCTCCCATCATTCCTGGGCAGTGGGCAAACCTGAGTGTAGATCCCTGCTTATTAATCTTTATCAACCCTTTGACCAAACCCCTTCATTCCCTAAACCTCAGTCTTCTCTGTAAAATGGCACTAATGGCAACATCTAGCTTGTAGGGCTGCTGGGAAAACTGCAGGATGATGGCATGTTGAGCACTTAGCGGGAGCTGGCACCTTCCACGTGCTCAGCAAATGGAGCCTCCTCTAATTTTTGTGGCTATGATGTTTGCCTCCCACACTTTTCTCACTTTTTCCTGTCTCCTCTCCCTTGGCTCACCTTCCCTCTCTCTGTTCATCTCTTCTCTCCCCGCCCCTTGACTGTCTCTCATTTCTTCCTCATGGGCTTCTTCCTTCCTTTCTCTTCATCTCTTCCCCTCCCCCTGGCTTCCCCTAGAGCCTCCTAACCACCCGCTCCCTCCAACCCCCCAGTTGCCCCGTTATCCCTCAGTCTCCCTCAATGCTCCCTGCCAAGCCAAGTACTCAGAGGGGGTCCGCTGAGGCCAGGGTCCCAGGGCTTGAGGCAGGAGGAAAACTCACACAAGACCTGTTTGTATTTCAGATAGAGGCAATTCCTGACACACTGCTCAGATTCACAGCCTTAAAAATATCACCGTGTTTGCCCTTCTTTCTCCCTCCCCCCACCACTTCTTTCCTTCCTTCCTAACTCGTCTCTTCACTCGTGGAGATGAACAATTTGTGATTTCCCCAGATACAGACAGCTATGGTAGGACCAGGCATGGTTGGTGGGGGCAAAGGGAGGGGTTGAGGAAGCAGCTTTAGGTCAAGGGTCAGTTAGTGGTGAAAGCCACCCACGATGAGGAGAAGGCCACCGTGTCCAGAATGCCTGGGGACAGAGAATTGGTGACTGCTGATGCAGGGTGGTGAGAGGCCTCTGAGGTCCCCCCACACTCTCCCCTCCCCTGCCTCTGCCTCTCCTTGTCCTCTCCATCTCCACTCTCCCTCTAGTAGCTGCCTCCCACTTGGTGACACAGGTCTCCTCTGAGGGGTGCCTTCCACCTCAGGGTAGCTTTGGATGCTGTGGGGAAACCGATAACCATGACCTGGGAGCACCCAGGCCTCTCCTGTCCCTGAGAGTCTCCAATTCCTCCTTGACATCACTTTATCTTTATCCTTCAGGGAATCCAAACCACCCTCCAGTCCCACTGGAGCCACCATCAGTTCCTGCTGAGATTCCAAGGCCCTCCACACCTGATGTGGCCCCCAGCATCCCTGGCAACGGCTGTGCGGAGTACGAGCCAAGTTACCCTCTGCCTGTCCAGGATAGCCAGCCACCAGAGCCCCTGGGAGAGGTGCGTCCACACACCTCCTGCTTTTGTGTTCCTGTCCTCTCACTTCTGCCCACCCAGCCTTCTGGAAGCCCGCCACAGATCCTGTCTAACCTCTGCTCAGAATCCCAAGCTCTCGCATTGTGGATCTGCCCCAGACCAGCTGCCAGACTATTGACCAGGTCTTTACCACATGGCAGCCTCACCCCTTTGTCATCAGTCAGCTGTGAAGTCACAATTTTGAGGTCTTTGCAGTGGTCCATGTGAGATCTCAGTTGAGCTGAGTCAAGGGATCAGGGTATGACCAGATGGGGGAGTGAGGGAGCAGCAGATGGTGGGGTAAGGGATGGATGGTTGGAGCTGTAATCATCACCAGTAAAGCCAAGTTTGGGGGAAATATGGCTGATTCTATTGGGATATGATGAATGGGCAGTGAGGTGTCCAGGAGACACCAAATCATGAACTTGAAGCCTAAGAAAGGGTCTGTGCAGTGTCTGCAGAGAGGGAGACTTTTCTTTAGGGCCAGACAGATGAATAGGGACTCCCCCATATGATGATTTTCTATGAAGTAGGTTCACAGTCACCTGTAGACAGAAGTTCTGGCAATGGCCAAAGCCGAGGTAAAGGCTTCCTTGGTCCTGTGCTCTGTGGCATGGACTGTGGCCTGTAGGCGCTGTCTCAAGCATAAGTTGCCCTTTGCCAGCTTCTGGAAGAAGCGACTGCCTTATTCCTATATTCCCTCTTGCAGAATTCAGAGAAAGCCCCACAACCTTCCCATTCTGGGGCTGTCCTGGAGCCCTTGTCTGACACGGTGGCCCTCAGCACTCTGACCTCCAGTGTACATCAGGAGCGGGACACAGGACTGGGCAGTACCCACACAGCAGGTATGCACATTGCTGAGGGTGTGGATACAGGTAAAAGAAGTGAATTAGGGCCATGTTTACACTGTGCCTAAGGGACATATAAGGGATCTGCCAAGACCTAGAGGACAGTGTAAGGTGAGTAAAGGGCTGGGCCAGCTGTTGGCAGGGAGCACTGCCCCATCCCAAAGGGGTCTCCAGCTCCCAGCAAATCACTCAAACATTTCAGTCTCCAGAGGAAGTATATTCTTCATCAGCCAAGGGCCTGGACCCTCACATCAGATGTCTCAGGAGTATAATGCTGTCTACTCTGATCTTTCAGGCTGGCATATTTCCTCAATTGAGTTCCATATAACATTGGTGCCCATAGCCTCCAGTGCTCATGGAACAGCCACAAGGCCCATTAGCAGTTAAAGGTTCAGAGAAGCCATCCTTAGTGTTCCATGCTCCTGTCACTTTATCCCAAGCATCCTTTTGCACGTGGCAATGACAGCTTGCTCTGGAACACCTTTTCAGGAAATACTGCTGTGGACCAGGGAGACAAAGGGCTTTGATTTCAGTATAAGTATGGACACAGGTTCCATGAGATGTTATGGTGGTAGATTTGGGGTAGGGGTGGGGTGGACATTAGAATCACTCCTGACCTTTGTCAGATGTAGGGCCTGGCATGTGTGTTTTCAGAGTTCCGTGGCAAATCCTTGTATAACTGCCTTTATGGACCATCACCACCTACTCCCTCCTGCTTCCCCCAGTTCAGGCCCTCCTCCCAGGGATGGTTTTGTCCCTGCACCTGCAAGCCCTTAGGCCTCCTAGAAGTGGGGCGCTCACTGGGCCTCTGGTGCCATATGACTGGTGTGAGCTCTTCTGCTTGAGCCATCCTGCTGCCCCTTGCCCTAGCCTATGATTGTTCCTGCTGAGAAAAAGATGGCAGTGGGAGAAACATCCAGAATTCTACTAGTCTAAGAAGAGGTTGGAAGAGGCAGACAAGAGAAAAGAGGGTGTCCCAGGCAGGAGAAGAAAAAACAGAGAGGAAAACTAGTAATGATTTTCAGGCTCCTAAACCCTGTTAGAGGTTAGGGACTGAGGAGGGACAGGATCAAGGATTTATCTGCAACCATTAGGCCTTCAGCCCTGGAATCTGTGACTAAAGGGACTGGAGACTCCTCCATGGGTGGGAGGTTGGATGCAGTAGGAATGGTGTGAGTTGGGACAGAGAGACCCTATCCCTCTGATCCAAGGATAATGCTCCTGTGGGTTTGTGTTTCTCATTTTCTTTCACCACCTGCAGGCGTGGTCTCCAGTTCCACGTCACTCCATGGGCCTGTGTCTCCAACTGTCTCCCGTCCTACCCCCAGGGCAAGCCGCTTGCCTGGACCCTCAGTGTCAGCTCCATCTGTCAGCACCTCCTCCTCCTCCATTGGCTTGACCTCTGCAGGAGGTGCTGGTGACCAGGCTGAAGGTACCATCTGCTCCAGTGGGGCAGGGGTGCCCAACAACCCTATGACTGCCAGCACAGTACCCTCCAAGGTGCCCACCAACTCAGCATTTGGCAGCTCAGTGCCTTCCAAATTGCCCACCAGCTTGAAGTCCCCTGGTGCAGTGCCTACCAGTCTAGCACCATCCAGATTGCCCATCAACTCAGTGCGTTCTGGCATGGTGCCACCCAAAGTGCCTACTAGTGGGATACCTGACCACAGGATACCTGCAAGCACAGTGCCCAGTAAGGTGCCTACCAACACAAGGCTCAGCACCAGGAGCAGCAATAGACTCGTGAAGGTGAGTTCTTACCCTGCCTAGCAGTGATCCGAGCCTCTCTCCCCAGCCCTTCTCCAGTCTCCCTTCTGACTCCAGCCTCATCCAGGGCTACTTTTTGAGGGAATAGGGAGAACTGAGACCCAATCTCATCCAGACCTAACACCTGTTCTTTAGAATAATAATAATCAATCATTAGAGCTGTCAAGTGTGGATGCTTCAGGGAGGGTCAGGCTTGCTAGACCAATTTCACTGGTCATGGGCATTAACCCATTTAGAGCTCACAGCTCCCCTTTAAGCTCAGCAGTGTTATTTTGCAGATGAAGAAACATTCCTGTTTGCCTCAACACCTTGTTCTTCCCCACTGGGATATCTGGCTTGCCCCACCATGACCAAGGTTTTACAAACTCTAGTCCCAGCCCATCTACTCTGACCCAGTAGCCCCCACAGTTGCCTCTGAGCCTGCTTATCTAACCCTCCTGCTGCTGTCTGCCTGGAGGGACCAAGTCCATGGCCTAACCTCTGACCCTGTGGATGCCATGGCCATCAAGCCCAAGGCAGAAAGTCAAAATAGAGTGGATCACACATGACCAAGGGCTCCCTGGGGTAGAAGTGAGCTCAGAAGCAGGCCAGTGAGTAGAGCTCTCAGCTCTGGAGAAAGTCTTACCACTGATGCTCCTGCAAGGCCTTAGTCCCCTCTTCCCCGACTGTCTTCCTGCACCATCAGTGAGTTGAATCCCCTAAAAGAAGATTGCCTTTTGGCACTGTGGGCTGGCTACTGAAGGGTTGGGGTGTCAGTTTTTGGCCTGTCCTGGGAGTGGGGCTACCCAACCTGGCTTGTCCCCTACCATCCTCAGTCCCTCTAGTTCCTCCTTTCTTCCCCAGGAGACTCCAGCATCACCAGTGCCCACAGGCGCTGCCACTGGAGGCACATCACTTTGTCCAGACAGCAGCTCTGACTGCTGGGGCTCAGAGCTGGAGCTGAGCAAGCCTAGCAGGCTGGTATCTAGGATGGACAGCCAGCCGTTCTCAGGCTGCTCCGCGGACCTCGCCATCAGCCACAGTAACTCCCTGGGAACGGGGCCTGACAATGCCCCGGAGGAGAACGAGTATGTGTCGGAAGACCCCATTAGGATCCATGAGAACCCCAGCACCTCCATCCTGGGGGACAGCCCCGGGACACACAGTACCCTGGAATTCCAGGCAGAGGATAAGTTGGAGGAAATGCCTGTGGTCAGGACCATGCCCTGGGCTCCGTGGCTCGGGATGGCCATGGCTGGGGCACTTTTAGCGCTCCTGGCTTCACTGTACCGGCGGCGCCTACCCCAGTGAAGCTCCTGGGTCTTTCTTGCCGTTCATCTTTCTCTTTCCCATGGCACATCTGCCCAAGTCACAGAGATGAGCTGTCTCGCCATCCTTGACCCTTTTTCGGGGCTGGCAGAAGCTGGGTCAGAAGGGAGGCAGGGGGCCACAGGCCTAGTCCTGGGGGGCAATATTTCTGTCCCATCTCATGCCCTTGGTGGCTGCCCCACCATCCTTGGCTTACTGGGCCCTGGGCTGCTCCTGGTGCTCCAGTCCTCACCCAGCTGGCCGTCTGGTTGTTGCCCTTAACCCGTGTGCCCTTAATCCCATCTAGGCCTTATCCCTCTTTACCCAAATGCAAGAATCAGGAGGTGCCACTGGGGACCACAGTGGGTCGGAAACCTTCCCCATCCTGCCTGGTCCCTGCAACCAATAGATGGGGTAGGGGACATTGCTCTAGCCCCCAGTGGCCCAGTAGCCCCCTGCAGAGCAACAGGGAGGCCCATCTTTAAGGACTTGGTCCCCTGTCTGTCTGATTCCCCTCCCTACCACACAAGGATGGGAGGAGATCCAGAGATTCCCATGGACCCCTGGGAAGCCTGATCAGGTGCTAGACCTGAGGAGCACCTAAAGAGCCCCTCTCCAGCCTCCTCATCCTAATCTCTGTTCTCTTCAGCTCCCTATGGGGGTTGGAGAGGGAGAACCTGCAGGATTTCAGCTCTACCTCTTTGTGGGCTGTGTGGCCTTGACAGATAATCAGACTTCTCTGATCTTGCTTACCCATGTGGACAATGAGAATTGCATCTCATCCTTCACTGAATTCTCCTGAGATTGGAGCATACAGATCTTTGTCAAGTGCCTGGTCCAAAGCAGGTGGCCTTAAATGCTCCTCTCACCTTTCCCTGCCTAGCCAGGTAGAGATGAGGGCATGAGAGGCAGAGTGCCCAGTGGGTAAGTATGCACTGTTGCAGTGTAGGGTAAGTTAGGCCCGTGTCCTGTTCTGTCTCTTACTAACTCTGTGCTCTTGGGCAAGGTGTTAATCTCTCTATGCCTCAGTTTTCTCACCTGTGTAATTGGGATGAATAGTAAAATTATATAGATATACATGTCCTAGTATTGTGAGGATTAAATGAGTTTATCTATATAAACCGTAGAATGGTTCCTGGCATTTTACTTACTGAGGTTTGCATGCATGTTGGTTTTGTCAGTATTCAAATGTGGAGGGGCTGGAGCACTTGGCCACACATTTAGGAGCTGACCCAGCCCCTAGTGCCTATGCCCCTTTCATATTTGCCCCTTACTTTGTTCCATGCATTGGGGATTGTTGGGGAGTGAGGAGGGAGACATGTCTGCTGGGGCATCTGTGCAGGGTGGGGGCCAGGGTGCCCCCCTCAGCAGCCAGGTGGATTAAAGGATATCCTTGTGAGTGCTTTCCAGGCAGCCATTGCTGGACAAGGGCCAGGCACAGGAGCCTCAGGAGTTACCTTCATTTCTGGGCCCTGCAAGGGACAGGGACTAGAGCTCTAGGGAGACAAAGTTGGCAGGTGTTAGGAGGTCACTGTGGCCCACCCCCAGGCTGTCGGTCTGCAGAGTCCTGCACCCTGCTTTGGCTACTACAGTCTTTCTTTGCACTGCCCTCAACTTCAGCAACCTAATGGCTTCTACCTCTACCTCTGAACTTACCTTCAGCCCTCTCTCCAGACCGAACCACCTGTACCTTGAAGCCAGGAATAGTCCCTAGTGAGGCTGTCTGCAACCACTCTGTGTCACCTTTACTCTTATCCAGGCTTCTGGGCTCCTTCTTCCTAGGTACTTAGGTCAGTGAACAATTCATGAACAGGTATTGGTTTTAATGTGTTACCCTCCCAAGATAGCTTTGGAAAAAAGTATCTCCAGAAAGCAGTTTGTAAACCCAAAGTAAATTGTAGGATTTCGAACAGAGTGACCACCTGTTTTGGAGAGATCCGTGGATAAGTTGTGTAGGAAACTTTCAGGGACTGCCCTGGCACTTTTCAAATGATGCTGCCCAGAAGCCCTGACTTAGCCTGCATTGTGCAGCATTCCTATTTTGGCTGCTGTCACTAAAGTGCCAACTTCAGGCAGGATTGGGATTGGCTGTTGGCAAGGAGAGGGCTTGGGGTAGTTGATGAGATGCATCAGATCTCGAGTCCTGGGTTTGGAGTGTGGTTTCAGCTGCAGGAGGTTGCATGTAGGAGGGAAACCCAGGCAGGTCACCATGGCCTGGATGATGTGAAGGGAGTGAGAAAGGACCTCTACCCCCAGACAGGGGTCTAGTCACCTATAGTTGGAGATGGGAAAGTACCCTTCACCTTAGGGTAAAAGCAGGGGTGAGGTCAGAGGGCCCTTACCTAAGGACTTAGGGCAGACTTAGCAGTAGGTATCTGCATATAAATCTCTCTCCATCTTTCTCTCTCCTGTTGAAGCATTTCCTTCAAAGCCCAAGAGTCACCACTGCTTCTCTTTCCCTGGGAAACACCTGCCAACTTTGCTTGATGACCCACTGAAGGCAGACTAATACCACATTCTCACCTTGTTTCCTTGGTTGGACATGCTCAGATTTAGTTGATTCAGGGGAATTTCTAGTCAGAGAGCAGTATGCCCTTTACTTTTTCAGGCCTTGGGTTATTCATAGTTTCTTTTATGAAATTTTTTTACTATGGAAAACTTTTAAGGACACAGAAGTATAGAAAATAGAATAATTACTTCTCCCCTCCATATGCCTGTTGTGCTATGTACTGTCGCTTCAGTCATGTCCAACTCTTGTGACCCCATGGACTGTAGCCTGCCAGGCTCCTCTGTCCATGGGATTCTCCCAGGCAAGAATACTGGAATGGATTGCTCCTCCTCCAGGGGATCTTCCCAACCCAGGGATCTAAATTGTCTCCTTCATTGAAAGGCAGGTTCTTTACTACTAGTACCACCTGGGAAGGCCATATGCCCATTACCCAGCTTCAATAATTATGGACTCAGGACTTCCCTGGGGGGCCAGTAGTTAAAACTCCATGCTTCCGTTGCAGGGAGCATGAATTCAAACTGTGGTCGGGGAACATGCTGTGGTCATGGTGGTGGTTTAGTCACCAAGTCATGTCTGACTCTCTGCAACCCCATGAACTGTATCCTGTCAGGCTCCTCTCTCCCTGGGATTCTCCAGGCAAGAATACTGGAGTGGGTTGCCATTTCCTTCTCCATGGGATCGTCTCCACCCAGGGATCAATCCTGGGTCTCCTGCATTGCAGGTGGATTCTTTTTTTTTTTTTTTTTTTTTTTTCATTTATTTTTATTAGTTGGAGGCTAATTACTTTACAGTGTTGTAGTGGTTTTTGTCATACGTTGACATGAATCAGCCATGGATTTACATGTATTCCCCATCCCGATCCCTGCTCCCACCTCCCTCTCCACCCAGTTCCTCTGGGTCTTCCCAGTGCACCAGGCCCAAGCACTTGTCTCATGCATCCAGCCTGGGCTGGTGATCTGTTTCACCCTTGCAGGTGGATTCTTTACCAACTGAGTCACCAGGGAAGCCCCTACATGCCATAGGGTAAGGCCAAAAATACTTTTAAAAAATAATTATGACTCCTGTCTTGTTCATCCCTGCCTGATCCCTCATTTTTTGTACAAGTTCTTTTTGTAAGTCAGAAAGTAAAGAGTTCAGAAAGTCAAGGGAAAGACTTAGGACAGGAGGATTTTGTAGCCAAGGGCCCTATTTTTAAAAATTTTTTTCCCCAAGGCATTCTCCACTTATCTTTTTAGCCTCAGTGGGTGACATCTCTTTTGAACCAGTTCAGAGTATGAGCAGCACTGGTTCGCTGTCTTAAGAGGAGAAAACCAGTTCCTTCATTGACAAGCTCCTTGAAGGTGTTTGGCTACTGCTCCTGTCCCAGAGAGGTGGGGACCAATGGGTGTGTCCAATGGCAATTTGCCCCATTGCATTAGGGGTCTGCCCCATTGCATTAGCGGTCTGCCCCATTGCATTAGGGGTCTCCTTTAGGCTTTCACAGAGCCCTTCCACCTGGCAGAAATTCCCATCCTTGGCCAGATTCAAACTTCACAGCATGTCTTCTGATCTATAGGCGTCTCCTTGGGATGGAGTCATTCAGGCCTTAAGGTCCCTTTCTTTCTACCAGTGCACTACGGTAGTGTTCAGGATGCCTGGGCTAATCTATGCTGTGATAACTCATTATAGGTGAAAAGCACATGCTCCCTTGTGCTCCCCTTTCTTCCCTTTTTCCTACAGCCCAGGGTCATGAAGTTCACATTTGCTGCAAGGCATGGTCACTCAGCATTCCTCACTCCTGCTGCTGCTGCTGTTAATAACATCAAAAATAAAAAGGGCTACCACTTACCCCATACCTTGTTGCATGCCAGGTGCTAGGCAAAGTGCCTTGCATGTATTAACTTGTTTAGTCCTCACAATGACCCTATGAAGGGGATATAATTGTGACCCAATTTACAGCTGATCTGCAAGACTGAGAGGGAGGAAGGATCAGAGGGGACAATGCAAGGGAAAACTGGCCCCTGAGCCTGAATTGGATGTTCCCCATGCCCCTGACCCTTAGCTGATCAGGTGTCTAGAACTTGGGGCCCCATTTCAAGTGAGATTTCACACATCTCTTCCTGGCGTTCCAAGGACTGCCACCTGCAATAATAGTATAATATTCAATATATAATTTAATATAGTCCTAAGGGTTTGTGACAGTATGAATATAATCATATGTGTGTCCAGGCTTAATGGCCTGAGGCTGCATGAGGCGAGGCAGCAGGCACAAGCCTGTCCTCTGGAGGCCAGTTTGGTTTAATAGAAAAGGATTCCCTTGTGCCAGGTTGAAGGCCTAAATTGAGTAAGTCACTTATACCCTCCAGAGGTCAGGAGTGACTCACAAAGTATGGTGGAAACAAATAGGCTTTCATGTCATTTTTTTTTCATGTATTTACAACAAATATTTATTTTGTTCCTACTGAGTGCAGAGTATGAGGATAGGCCTTGGAGACACACAGTAATAAAGCAAAAAGCCTACCTTCAGTGCCCTCTTCTATTACTTACTGTCTTCAATTTAATTGTGAGTGGCTTAAAAGTGTGAGCAGGAGTGGGGTGGAGGGAGAGAAAAGTTGTTTTGATTAGTCATGTACTATTAACAGTTATAACAATGAAATCCAGGAAAGCAGTAAAACTTAGAGCCTCTAGGGACCAAGAAAAATATTAAGTATAAATTTATAGACAGCTACCAGAAAGGCTAAAATGAAAGTGTCTGACAAGATCAAGTGTTAATGAGGACCTCCCTGGTAGTCCAGTGGTTAAGAATCCACCTGCTAATGCAGGGCACATGGGTTCCATCCCCTAGTCCAGGAAGATCCCACATGCTGCAGAGCAGCTCGGCCCGTGTGTACAACAGCCCGTGCACTTAGAACCTGTGCTCCACAAGAGAAGCTACCAAGATAAGCCCGCGCACCCCAGTGAGCCCCTGCTCACAGCAGCTGGAGAAAGCCTGTGCCAAGGAACGAAGACCAGCATTTAAAAAAGATCACCTGTTGATGGAAATACAGAGCAATTAAAACTCTTAAACTTTAGGAGGAATGTACGTTAGTAAAACCCTTTTGGAAAATTGGCAGTATCTACTAAAGCTAAACACATGTATAACTTATGACCCAGCAATTCTACCTTGGGTGTATCCATGACAGAAACAAGAGCTCATGTCTACCAAGATATGTGCAAGAATTTTTCTAACTGCACTGTTCATAATCGCCTCAAGCTGGAACCAATCCACAAGACCTATCCATAATAGAATGTGTATATAAGTTGGGGTAAAGTCATAGAGCAGAATATTGTTGCTCAGTCGCAGAGTTGGACAAGACTCTGCGACCCTATGGACTGCTGTATGCCAGGCTCCCCTGTCCTTCACCATCTCCTGGAGCTTGCTCAAACTCAAATCCATTGAGTCGGTGATGCCACTCAACCATTTTATCCTCTGTTGTCCCCTTCTCCTCCTGCCTTCAGTCTTTCCCAGCATCAGGGTCTTTTCTAATGAGTCAGTTCTTCGTATCAGGTGGCCAAAATACTGGAGCTTCAGCTTAACCCTCAGTCCTTCCAATGAATATTCAGGGTTGATTTCCTTTAGGATTGACTGGTTTGATCTCCTTGCAGTCCAAGGGACTCTCAAGAGTCTTCTGCAACACCACAGTTCAAAAACATCAATTCTTCGATGCTCAGCCTTCTTTATCGTCCAACTCTCACATCCACACATAGCTACTGGAAAAACCATAGCTTTGATGATATGGACCTTTGTCAACAAAGTAATGTATCTGCTTTTTAATATACTGTCTAAGTTTGTCATAGCTTTTCTTCCAAGGAGCAAGTGTCTTTTAACAATGAGTATGAATGACAATATTGCTACACACAGCATGGGTATACCACAGACATGCTACTGAGAAAAAGAAGTCAGTATATACAGAATAGAATATGTGATTCTATTCCTATAAAAAATACAGAAATAAACAAAACTGATCTATGGCATTGAAAGTTCACTTTTGTTACCTTTGATTTTGGTGTCAACTTTCATGAATACTTCGAGTTTGTGTCCAGACTCACTGTTAGAGATAATGGAGGTAAACCAAGGTCATCCAAGTGAGAATAAACAGAGGCTGTTCATTCTGAGCTTGCAGAAGCAGCTACCATCATTTGCATTTGGCAGGAAGGGAATTAAAGACAGGAAAGAACTAGGAAAACACGGTGAGTGAAAGAAAGGGAAGGCTTCAGAAGTGCTATGATTGGAGGTTGTTTGCCTGGGACACTGGAGGTTGGCAAACTAGAAGAGAGGCATTTATATGATTTGTTGGGGAGCATATTTGGCTTTCTCTGGCTGGTCCTGAATTGGAAAAGAGGGAAGAGGTGGTTGTAGATTGGGAAGAAGGTGGCACGCTTTAAAACCAAGACCTGATGATTCTGGGATGATTGCTGCAGAAGTGGTCTGGCTTTCCAGGCTGGTTACTGCAGAGAGTTCTATGGTCATATATGGTCTGGCCACAGTCCTTTTGTGTATTCAGTCCTCTCAGAGGGAAAGAACTGCTGGAATGGGATGGAAGTGGGCACATACACACTTTATCCAGCTCCCCATCCCTCCCTGCGGTCAGTGGTGCTGCCTGTGAGGATAAGGCCAATGGCTAGAGGGCTGTGCTCCAATTCATTGCTTATCTGCGCCCACTAAAGCTGTTTTCTTTAAGGCCTAGCTTAAAGCCCAGCTTCTATTGGAAGTTTTCTTTGAATAGATCCCTCTCACTTATTTGCCTTCCTAGTTATTGTGGCTTACCTCAGATTTTTCAGAGCAAATTCTCATCTTCCTGCCTGTGTTTTGAAAACTTACATGGAATATCTTCCTTTTACTTACTCAATGCTGTTTCTATAAAAACAGCAACAAAACCAAAATACCCCCTCAACCCCACAGCTTTTTATTGAAGTAAAATATACATGCTGAAAAGGGTACTCAGAGACAGAAGGGAGGCGGTGGGGGAAGCAGGCAGAAGGGTGGTGGTGGAGAGAGAAAATGGGGGGGAGGGTGTTGAGAAATATGAAGAAGGGAAGGAGCCCTGTGTTCTAGTTTTGGGTCCTTCTGGCATCTCTTTCCTCCCTGGATCCATAAACTGTGAGGCTAGACCAGGTGATGTCAAATTCTCTCTCCGCCAGAGCTCAGTCCCATCAGCCCTTGAGTGTCCTTGGCACAGCC